CCCCAAAACCCCAAAACCCCAAAACCCCTCCATATCCACACCGAATAGAAATAATTTTTAATATTTTCATGGAGAAAATGAAGACCAAAAGCATGAGTAGCGGAAGTAAAGCAGAGAAGAAGCCTCCCAAAGGCGCCATGGGTAGGAGGAAACGCCTCTTAGCTCAACCTGCAAGCCAACCTGAAGAAGAGAAGAAGGATAATAAGAGTATGTTTACTGGAAACCTTTAATTTTTGAGGGAAATAGAGGCTAATTGGGTAAAGAATACTCCATACTGACCCATCTCTTCCAAGACCATTTTTAAAGATGACACTATATAATTCAGCTTAAGTCTACCTTCTATCTATTTTACTTTCACTTTGTAATTTTATAGACAGAGATTCCTCAAATTTTAATTTTACCATTTCATCGATGTTTTAAATTTTGTAAATTTCTTAATTTTTGCAACTTTATGATATACTTTCAATTTAATGGGTCCTAATTGTAGAAATATAGTGAATCCGCAGCTCCAGAAGAAATCTGAATCAGCCCCAGCATGATGTATTAAGAAGGATGATATTGATACCAAAGAAATTGAGAAAATTTTCAAAATCACAAGATCAGGTAAATAAACGGGGCCGGAAGCCTAAGAAAAGGGGCAGGAAGCCTAAAAACACTGCTAAGGATGTTCAGAATGGGAAAGGGAAGCTTAAGAAAATTAGTAAAGATGAGGAAGAAAAGAAAATACAGCAGCCGAATGAGATACCACAAGTGAGGGTTGGAGAGGATAAGGAGTTTAAAGAACCACAGATAGCGGTAAGTGAGGGAGGTATGTGGGAAAATCATACGTTTTAGTTCCCGCTTAGGGGGAAATTTTGGTGCTTAACTTATTCTAGGCGAATATGGTGAAGAAACAGGTTGTAGAGTCCAAATTAGAGCCTACTTCAGAGATAGATGCAACTCCTCCTACTTCAAAAAGCTCCCTTAACAAACAGGTAGATCTCTTATGAACACCCTCTACAGCTCCTAAAGCTGTTTCAGAAGAGGCTAAAATTCAAAAAGTATCCTCAAATTCAGAGTCTGTTGCTGAAGAGCCAAATTCTCAGATTGAGCCTTCACATACGTCTCAAGCAGGGACTTCCAAGTATCTTGAAACAATGCTCAGAATAGATATTGAGTACCCGACCAATAAAGTGGTAGATCTTAAGGCAGAATTTGATGATTTCCTGGATGAAAACAACTTAATCGACATCTATGACAACTCTAAAAAGGAAACCAATCCGCTAAAATTTGGCAAGCTCAACAAGAAAGGAATAGGCAGTGTAGAAGAAGAGCAGGAACTTGCTGAGGAAGGAGATGATAACATTAAGTTTGATAAGAATATAAATGCTCATGATATGATGCCTGGCAAGAATAGCCAGTACTCTTCAGTCCTCAAAAACCTCATTTCTCGAATGGAGCAGGACGGCACCCTTGGAAGACAGAGAGAGTACGGTAGGAGTACCAACAAGGGTAAGAAGCTTAATGAAGATAAAGACCAGGAGTACTATTACAACCTCGATGATGAATTCATCGATGATTGTGAAATAATCAATAACGAGTCAATGCACAAGGATTTCTCTCAGCAGGAGCTCCTCGAAGAAGACCTTGAGAAGTTCTACCTCAATTTCGAATTCCTCCAAACGAACAAGCTACAGAAATATACTGAGAAAATTCACCAGAAGAAGCTTCAGCGGATGGAAGATGAACAGATCTCAGATCCGAAAATTAATGAAAAGATGCAGCAGCTTGAAAACTCAATTAAAGAGAACAAGGATGGAACCCTGAACACTTTGCTCCAAGAAATCGCACTGAAACTCATGTCTGATGATGATAATGAGCCTAATGAGTACCAGAATTTCCGCGAAGAGATCTTACTGAAACTCCAAAGGATGTTCAAAGAGAAAGACAGGGATAAAATAGAATACGTCCTGAACCTCTTCGTCAAAAAGCAAGATGCAAAAGAGACTATGAACAGTCTTTCTGATATGCTGTTCCGGTATATTGAAAAGAACACAAGAATCCATAAAGCTCTGCGTGATAAGCAACCTAAGGAGGAGTCTAAGGAGGAGCCAGAGGCTAGTGAATTCGCTCGTGTTTGTTTAGACTCTCAGGCGAAGGAAATCATAGAATCGATCCGCTCTAGCATCCAAAAGTACTTGAAATACACCAATATGTACAAGGTCTACAAGATTCATACAGGTATCAAACGTCTGAAGACCGATGAAGAATTCGAGGATTTCACTGGAGACCTCCGGAAAGATGCCAAATGATACATGAAAAAGCACGAAGAAACCACCCTGAGAGGCATTTTCCTTAAGGAAAAGATCACCTCAAATACCGTACAGAGGAAAATCAGAGAGATTATGCTTCTGTTTGAAGAGTCTGATTATAAATATGTTCAACAAGTTTTCGAAGACATTTTGAAATACCAAATAGAACCTATAACCAAAGAGCAGCCTGAAGAGGCTAAGAGCCAGCCAGCTCCTGCACAAGAAGAGGCTGTCAAGAAGGAGGATCAAACAGAAGAGGTAGAGGAGAAGATAGTCACTTAAGCAATAATTCAACCTAAATTTCTGAAAATGGGGTTTTGGGGTTTTGGGGTTTTGGGGGTTTGGGG